CAGAGAAGAGCCATGCGCATGATCAGAAGTCAGGAAAACAGACCTTACGATGACAGGCTGAGCGCCATGGGGCTCCTTAGCCTGGAAAAGTGCAGGCTCAGGGGTGATCTGATGGCCACCTATAAGTTTATCGGGGTGACCACCAGTATCTGGGGGAACATTTGTTCACCAGAGCGCCCCAAGGGATGATAAGGTCGAACTGTCATAAGCTACTGCGAGACCGTTTCAGGCTGGACATAAGGAAGAATTTCTTTCCAAGCCCCCAAGGTCTGGAACAGCCTGCCATCAGAGGTGGTTCAAGCACCTACATTGAACACCTTCAAGAGTAAATTGGATGCTTATCTTGCTGGGATCCTATGACCCCAGCTGACTTCCTGCCCTTCAGGTTGGGGACTGGACTCAGTGATCTTCAGAGGTCATTTCCAGCCCTAATGTCTATGAAATCTAATTTGTTGAAACTTTCTTTTTTCAGCCTAGGCCCTTGGCCAGGGAAACTTTAAAATTATTGGTTTAGAGTACTAGTGTGGAAATAGTACTAAATTATAAAATAATAATCTTGTGACTGTTTTTAGTAGATGTTTCTTTCTTCTGAAATTGTTGAAGCTAGAAAGATTACTTTGACAGTGAGTCCCTAATAAGGAAAAGTTACTTGGTATGTTCTTTATGAAAACTGGTTTTGCTGTGGTAGAATTGAGCCTGGAAAATTCCCAGTTTGAAAAGTAGAAGGACTCTTTTTTTTTTTTTTTAGTAGAATTCGGAAGGATCTACAGGCATTTCAAAGGAGATAATGAAATGTGAAAATACAACTCATTCTTATTCTGCTAAATATTTCAAATTGTAGCAGAGGTTTGTACATCAACATAGTCATAACTGTTGAAAGCTTATAACCTGGTGCTCCAGCCAGGCTCAAAAAATCTTGCAAAGGGAGCTTACATGCTAAGCCAGTGGAGTTAGTGAAACCCTGTAAAGCACAGGCAGTTGCCTGGGCAATTCAATGCAGGATTGGAGCCTAAAAAGTTTCCTATCCTCACAGGCTTATGGTGTTGAAATTTGGCACCCAGGTATTGTTCCAGCCCTTACTAATGACAGAAGAAACTATCTGTGGGTGATAGAAAATAGAATCCAGCAGTGTCCAGGTACCTGTTACAAGTGGAGACTTGTAAGGAGAAAAAGATCCTAACTCTCTTCTTGTTTTTATGTAGTGAAAGATAAAGCAGAAATACTACTTCAGGTTGATGAATCACAGAGTATCAAGAATGAGTTGACTTTACAGGTATGCAAAGATTTCTCATACACGAAAGATCTTGTGAATATATATATTTTTAAAATTATTATATAATACTGAAGTGAAAATTGATTTAAGCAAAAAAATGAATATAATTCCCCTTCTGGTCAAATGCTGTCTTGATGGACATGACATGAGATACAGCAACTCTTACAGTAATTTTTTAAATTTTCTTGGAATGTTACATTCAAAAATACTTACTAATAAAAAGGCAATAGCTTTCTAAGCTTAACTGTTAAATATAGTTAACAGTTTGGGGCTAAGCCATAATAGTATGGAGTAAGGAGGTCATTAACCATACTTGTTTTGAGTTTACATTAAATGTTACTTGATATTTAACATGTGCTATGTAGTATTATGTTGCTATAGTATAAATTGGTCTCTATCAATTCTGAATCTTCTGGTGATCACGTCTGAGCAATTATATAATTGCCTCAGCCCTGGTAGTACATCATATTACAGTAGTTATGGTATACTGGGCATGTCTACACGTGCAATTAATGTATCTGAATTTTCTGTGCAGAAAATTCAGGTGAACTAGGCCATGTGTTTGCACGTGTGCCTGTGTTGAGAGCAAACTGAGCCTGACAGGAGCAGCCTAGTCCCAGGGGCTCTGCACCCTACAACAGCCAGGGCAAGCTCCAGGCTCCCTTGGGTGCCAGCCCCATGCTAATAGGGGGCACAAGGGTCTGGTCTGTACTCGGGGCAGGGCTGTCCTGGCTCCAGGGCCAACTCCCTCCCAGCTGCACATAGATCAGAGCCAGTCCCAGGGAGCAGAGGAATCTGTCCTGGTTACAGGGGCAGCTCCCACCCAGGACCCTCATGCCCCCCCCCAGTCCCGGTGCTGCTCAGCTCCTGCTTCTCCCTGGCACTGGGCAGAAGCCGGGACATGGGCGAGGGGATCCCAGCTCATTGCTGCCCTGCCTCCAGCCGAGTGCCTAGGGCAGCAGAGGGACCCTGAGGAACAGAGGACGGCACTTACCAAGAGCTGACCCCAGAGACTGGAGCAGGGTTTGAGGCCACCAAGTGGGTGGGTGCTTCCTTACCTTTCTTGATGACAGACTGATCCAGCAAGTTCATTCTAGGCTTCTCCACTGTCTGCAAGCAAAGTGAGGAGAAAAAATAGGGCACTGCTGCTGCTCGGGCATGGAACATCGCTCCAAGCCAGTGCAGCCAAGCTGGGCTGAGATCCTGAGCTCTGCCCAGCTTGGAGCTGCCCCCAGAGTCAGGACAGCTCCCTCTGCCTGCCCTGGAACTTGGGGCGTAGCCAAGCAGCTGTTGTGACCCCTTACTGCCTAGGCTAACCAGGAGCAATTTGTTCCCAGTCAGCATGTACACTTACACTTCAGCACAGTAGTTTAAAGCGCTGTTTTCTAGTACCTGTATCGGGGTACTAGCAAATGGCACTTAATTTATCTACTGTGCAGTAATTGCTGTGTATGTATAGATGGTGATGTTTTACTGTGCATTAGATTAGTCCAGGGGTAGGCAACGTTTTTTGGCCGGAGTGCTGAAAAAACCACAATGTCTACCTTGGAAGGTCCCAGAGTGGCGACCTCCCAGAGCCCAGAGCAGCTGTTTGCAGCACAGCTTGCAGCCTCCCAACCGCCTGCTGGGAGCAGCCTGGGCTCTGTGGCTGGCAGCACCTGCATAGAGCCCGGGCTGGCGGTTGTGTGCTAAGCAAAATGGCCTTGTGTGCCATGCTCGCCACACGTGCCAGTGGTTGCTGACTCCTGGATTACTCTAATGCAAATTAGAGTGGCTAAAGTCTGAAAAAATATTTCCAGTAACTTTCATATCTCATTATGCAAAGAAGTAATAGGGTGCTGGGGAACAAAGAGTAACATAAGCAATATTTATACTTTGTCAGTTCAGAATATCGTATTAAGAGCCACTTTCTTGAGCAAATATTTTTATACTTCTTCCAAATACAATAATTTAAAAAAATGCTTAAAATGCTTATTGTATTAACTTTACAGATGCGTACAGCATATATTCACTGATCAGGATAATTAATTCTTTTAACCATTTTAGGTGACTACTCTTCATGCTGCATTAGAACAAGAAAGATCAAAAGTGAAACTATTACAAGCAGAAATAACAAAATATCAGGTATGTGTGCTGTTACTTTAGTGTCATAACTTCTGACTGTAAGTGTGTAGCTAGGCTGAAACTATAGATTTGGAAGTTGTTGTTTTTTTTCTTGCTACATGTAATCTGGGACAGATAACCAAAAGCGAAGTACAGGCCTCAGATTTATATTTTAGTCTGTTGATGGGTTGCATCTGTCTGTGGCCGGCCAGCCCCTGAAATAGACTGAATTTGAATTGTCATTTTGCTTCAGTCAGTAGAAGGGTGAATTTACTGATCTGTACTCTTTAGTTTTGTTGCTTTCTACTTGTCTAAGCAATAAGGCATTTTTTGTTAGTGGAATCAAAATCAAATCAAGGGCAACCAGCACAGTTTCATTAGGGGCAGGTCATGTCAGACCAACCTGATTGCCTTTTATGTTCAGGTCACAAAAGCATTGGATGCAGGTGTCGCCATGGACGTAGTTTTTCTGGACTTCAGCAAGGCCTTTAACACCATCTCCCATCCCATCCTCATTAAAAAACTAGGTGACTGTGGCATTGATGCCTACACAGTCAGATGGATTGCAGATTGGCTGAAGGGTCGCACTCAGAGGGTGGTGGTGGATGGGTCATATTCGACTTGGGGAGAAGTGGGCAGCGGAGTCCCCCAGGGCTCGGTCCTTGGGCCCGCGCTGTTCAATTTCTTTATCAGCGATTTGGATGATGGGGTGAGGTGAGCATGCTAGTAGGGAGGGATAGACTGCAGCAAGACCTGGATAGGTTACAGGGGTGGGCTAACAAAAACAGGATGTGTTTCAACACTGACAAGTGCAGGGTGCTGCACTTGAGCAGTAGTAACCAGCACCACACTTACAAGATGAGAAACTCCCTTCTTGAGAGCACGGAGGCAGAAAGGGATCTTGGAGTCATTATTGACTCCAAGATGAACATGGGCCGACAATGCGAGGTCATGGTTGGCAGGGCTAACTGGACCTTGTGATGCATCCACAGGTGCATGTCAAGTAGGGCCAAGGAGGTGATCCTCCCCTTCTATGCGACACTGGTCAGGCCACAGCTGGAGTACTGTGTCCAGTTCTGTGCACCCCATTACAGGAGGGATGTGGACAACATTGACAGGGTCCAGAGGAGGGCCACCCACATGATCCGGGTACAACAGAGCAGACGTTACAACGAGAGACTGCGGGACCTGAACCTGTTCAGCCTTTGCAAGCGAAGGCTGAGGGGGGACCTGGTGACTGTCTATAGACTCACTAGGGGGGA